CCCCAGGTGGGATGGTCACGCCGCAATCCCTTCTCCTCCATTCTCCTCTCGGGATCTTGGGCACGCATGCACACGCGCCTGGCTTGAGTTTTAAGCCACTGGGTCTGGAATGCGAACTGCGGTCGACTACGTGGGAGTCCAGCGACATAGCCATTACGCTAACTGCTGGTTCCCTATTTATTATTTTTAATTTGACCAGAGAGGGACAGAGAGAGATTGCCGGGGGGTGGGTGTGTGTGTGTGTGCGCGAAAAAGCAAGCCACCAGGTCCAGGACTCGAACTGCAGTGGGCCATATGGAAGTCCAGCATCCTTAACCACCATGCCACCTGCTGGCCCCGTGGCTTGCTTTTTCACTGTCTGTCTTTCTCTCTCTGGTAAGCACATGTGTCCTGCAGCAAATTAAAAACAATAATGTTAAATAAAATATAAACAAAATAAAAAATGTTGAGACTGCAAATAATACCAGCAAGTAAGTAAAAAAGACCACCTTAGAAGAATGGGAGAGAATACATGCACAGGGTAGGTCTGATGAGTGACTTTTATCCACAACACTTAATACAGTGATCAACACAAATTTAGTCTTCAATTTTTATTAGGTCAAAACTATAGAAGACATAATAGCCAAGGAAAAAAAAAGTGGCCTCCCAAGGAAGCAACGGAGACAAGGAGCTAATACTCAAACTGAAGCTCAGGCTCTCCTCTGAGAACTAAACTAGGAAATCTCAGACTGTAGTCAATAGGCAAAGCCATGGAGGCACCCGAAGTAGGACACCATCATGCAACAATGGAGCCACACTGAGAGGCTCCGGCTTTGGATCCCAGGTGGACCTGAACAGGCCTTGACCCTGGTCAGCTAGAAAGCTGCCAGGGTGGAGGTCAGTATGGCAAGACCCTGTCAAGTGTACCTTTCTTTCTCTGAAGAAATAAATAAGCTATACGTTTACCTACTAATAAAAAGCATACAGCAATTCCTACTCGATTCTAATGTCAGGCCAACTGGGTTAAGGCAGCTGGATCCCACATGACTGACTCCCAGTCCCAGTCCCAGTCCCAGACTAGTAGTTTAGGAAACATGCTGAGGCACATGTGCATGCCTGACCAAGGTCCTGAAATGAGAGCGAGACAGAGAAGGGACTGCAACATGGCCATAATGAGAAACAGGAGGGGGTGCTTTCTTCCCCTCCATGTCTGTCTGTCTCTGGTGCGCACACACCCCTTCTAGCTAGCAAAAAAAAAAAAAGAAAGAAAGAAAAAAGAAAAAGAAAAAGAATTACTATATGATCTAGAACTTCTATATTTACCCATAGGATGTGATACCAGTTTGTCGAAGTATCTGAACTCCCATGCTCATGGCTGTACTAGTTACAACGGCCAAGACATGGCATCAATGGATAAATGAATAAAGAAAATGTAATGTATATACAATGGAAATACTAAAAGAAGATGAAAATTTTGTCATTTGCAACGACATGGATGGAACTGGAGGACATTAGGCCTAGTGAAATAAGCCAGACACAGAGAAAGTCAAACACCACATGTTCTCACTTAGCTGAAGAGTCTCGACAATAGAGAATGGCAGAAGCTGAGAGTGGAATGGTGGTTACGGAGGCTCAGGGGTGAAGGGAATGAGGAAATGATGATTACAGGGTACGAAACCTCAGACAACAGGCAAACTTTGTCGATACCTCCTGCAGTGGGGACTGCAGTTAATAAGTGTGTTGTATACTTCCAAGTTACTTTGGTCGCCCCTGCAGTGCAGTACTAATGCGCTGTTCAAGAAAAGCTGGATCCCACATGGCAATGCAGTGTAAAGCCCCAGCCTGGTCAGCCTGAAAGATGCTGGGCACGCAGGTGAGTGTCCACAATCCGAGGGCTGAAGGACTGGAGGAAGGACTCATGTAGAGGTACTCATCTCTCTCGTTCTCTCTCATGCTCACATGTATGTGCACATGCTCTACCACGAATACAGACGGAAACATTTATTTTTTCAAACTGCTAAATTTCAAATGTTCTCACCAGAAAATTTATATATATTTGAGGTGATGGATGTTAACTAGCTTGATTTAATTATCCCACATTGTATTCCCAAATCGTAACATCCCTTTGTCCCCCCCAGATACGTAATTATAAATGTCAATTTATAATTAAACAAAACATCCAAAATCTTACCAAGGGGACCTGGGTAAACTCAGTGTGAAGTGCTTAGAACTGTGATTTTTAACTAAGAAAACCTACATCTAATATATTATTCTTTAGTTTGTTCTCAAAACTAAATGAAACATGAATACAGAAGGAGGCTGATCACCTATAAAAAGTAGATCCAGGGGACCAGCAGTTAGCGTAATGGTTATGTCACTGAACTCCCATGTAGTTGACCGCGGTTGCGTCCTGGACCTGGTGGCTTAGACTCACGCCGGGCACATGTGCATGCATGCCCAAGATCCCAAAAGAATGGAGGAGAAGGGACTGCAGTGTGGACATCCCCCCTGGGCGTTGATGACTCTCTTTTTATCCCTCTGTTTCTCTCTGTCTTTCTGGCGAGCACACAGTCCCTACAGCAAAAACCTCTCCAAAAAAAAAAAAGTAGATCTATCAAGAAAATTCAGGCAGTATGTTCCTAGCATTTGTCCAGAGGAAAAGACTTGATCCAGGTACGGCATTATCCAGGACGTGAGGTAGAAATCTCCCGGGAGCAGAAATTGGATGCATATGCTCAATGACACTAGCTATTAAGATCATTCAACTAATTCCTCTGGCTTTGATTGCCTGCTCACCAGAGAACCTTAGGATTAGAAAGTAGTATCCCACATAGATTTCCCTGTAGGAAGGAAATGCAAACATTGGGTATTGGGTAATTTAATTACCTTTGTCATTGTAAATTAATAAACTGGCAATCTAGTTAGAATATCAGTTTCCTGGCGAATCAGTCCCTAGGGCTGAGTAAACACTGAATATCCTAACAGCATTGAATGTCTCAGCTCATCTGCTTTACTCATTTAAGTTACCTGCCTAGCCTCTCTAGATTTTGAGCTTTCAAATCATGCTTTTGCAAAACAACAGTTTTTGGTAGAATAGTTCACCCTAAGGGTTATATTCTGCCTTAGGCTAATAAAAGTCTTTGATATACCAACCTAATATTCAGCGTACCCCACATTCTGCCCCTCTCCCCACCTGGAACCCACGACCAGGTCCTTCTAATCTTTACTTCAAGATCTTGTGACCAACTCACGTACTTCTTTTGGCCAACTGAGAGACAATCTATAAATAATCCTGGATACGCAAACTGGATCTAGGGACAGGAAAGGAAAGAATCACTTCTGTAATGCTAAGAAAATTAGCCTTGAAATGGACAGAACAATAGGCAGGGTCTGGAACACTCAGAATTCTACCTCCTCTACTAATACTTAAAGTCACTCATCTTTTCTTTCCTCCTTTCTCTTTTCTTTCTTCTTTTTCATTTTCTCCTCTCTCCCTCCCTCCTTTCCCTTCCTTTCTTATACATTTTGCCAGAGAACACATGCCAGAGAGAGACAAGGAGACAGAGAGAGAGGAAGGAGAAAGCACCTCCAATGGGGCCTGATCGTGCTGCAATCAGGGGGCATGGCCATGCCACATGACTTCCCCACCATCTCTCCATCCCGCCGGGATTTGGGGAAGGCGCGCATGCATGCACACAATGTTTTTCAAGTTGTGGGGTCTGGGATTTGAACTGCATAGTTGGCATTCGGGATCTAGCACCCCCACCGCTAAGTCATGAAGCCAGCCCCTCATTCATCCCTTCATAGTCTGTCCTGGTCTATAAAATGGAAATAATATCTGCTGCAACAATGTGAAAGCAAAATGAAATAGTACCGGTGATAGTAAAAGTCTAACTAAGCACTGAATACAAAGTAAAGTGTTGTGTTGATATTATCTTTTCTATTTCTAATTCTAATTCTGCTAACTTTAATCTGCCCTTAACCTATTCTTTCTTCTTCCAGAAGCCT